GACTCTGTATTACATATTTTTAAAGTATAATATGATTCACGTTAGCATTTTATATATATGATAAAGTTAAAACTGTTAAATACGTAAAAAAAAGTAATTAAACGTCAACATATTCTAACAAAGCTTCATAATCTTTATATTGAACCAAAATCTACCAAAAGAAAAAATAATCGACAAAAATCAACACAGTTTTTCGAAAATAAACTCTATCTCTCTATAAGGGACATACAAACTTTGTTACGATGTTTAAGAGCTTAGGAAAATGATCAAACAATTCGTTTCTTATCAGTATATATATATATATATATATATATTTCTTAAAATTTTAAGGGTTACTTAAATTTTTAATCTATTTTAATTATTTTTATTAAGAAAACTTCGCTGTTACATAATATATATATTTTTTTATAAATGTAATAAATTTTTTCAGATTTAATTCGAATGACGCGTCAGTTTATTTTTAATAAAATTTAAATTCACGATTTTCAACTAAATAAAAAATTTTAAACGTTGTAATTAGAAATGTGATTATTGTTAATTTCATCAATCTTACTTACATGAGTAATAGAAAAAAGAAAATAAAGACAAAATAGCCCACAAAATGAGAAGAAAAAGCAAACATCAAATTCCACTTCATTTATTTCTCTAAGTGCAACTTGATAGCATGTGTTGCATGGCAAAGTCCAAAAAGGATACAAAAAGCAAACCCATATATATATATATATATATATTTGTAAATATTGTATATGTGATTAATTAATTTATAATTTAAATTACAAAATTAAAATTTAAGTTATACCAATTATGTATTAATTATATTATTTATACTCATAATTGAAGCAATGGATAATTATTATAAAAATTAATATATTTAATAAATAATTATTACATTGATTAAGTATTTTAATTACTTAATCAAATTTGTAGGGAAGTATAAACCAAGTTTGGATTTCAGGGTATATATACTTTTCTTGGGTTGGGGAAAATTTTTTAATGATTTTCTTTAAAATGCAAATATACATATATATATATATATGTATACATATTATATTATTAATTACATGCCTAACTTATGAGAAAATTGCTTAAAAATTAGGGCTGCTAACTTTTTCATCTTCTCCTTCTCACTTGATGGCTTGACTCAAATTCCCATGAGACAAAAATTCATTATCATTAATGTATGTATGTATGTATTTATATGTATATATATATATATAATTTTACTTCATATTTACACTTTCATCATTCATTTGACTTGTGGGGAACTATTCTTGAGGAGTTTGGTTCTTTCTTCTTGATAACAATTACAATTACGACTCCTAAAATTACTTGATAATTACTCTATAATATTTAGATAATATAAGTTAATATTAGACTATATTAATTATACACACACACATATATATATATATATATGTATATTAAATTCTGAAAACCCATTTAATCACTTATCCTAAAATCAATCATAAAACAACATTCGTATGGATTAAGTGTGAATAGGGTTTGATTTTAGTTTAAATAATTTAAGAATATGGCAACTAATATAAGTTATTAGTGAGAATCTACGTGTGTTTTAAGCTTTATAGGAAGAAAAGCTTGGATCCATTGCCTCAAGACAAGCAAAAGTTGATTCAAAGAGATTAACAATGGCGGAAAGTTATATATATATATATATATACACATGTAAGTAACATCATTTTCTAGTTTAATTTGGAAAAGAAAATAAAAATACAAAGTAAGAAAAATAATAAAATTGTTTGATGACTCACAAAGTTATTCCTTTAAATCAATGCTTTTTAATAGGTAGGGAAAACATTGGATAAAACCCCTCCTAAGAAAAGAAAATATATTCTTTTTAGTTTAAAACTAAAGAAAATAAAGGTATATCTTTTTAGTCCCGTTTAAAAATATATACATTCGTACCTATCCCGTATTCGAAACAATAATAAATTTTCATATATATTCTCTTATAAAAGTAAATACTTTTATCATATTTCTCTTATAATATTTAGAACAGTAATAAATTTTTATCCAGAACCCATTTTATGAATAAATATTTTTATCACACATGTCTCGTATTCAGAATGTTAATAAATTTTTATTTATAATATATTTTTATAAGTAAATATTTTTATCTACCGCATATTTTATTATTTTTCTTTTTTCACCTGTCTCGAATTTTAAATTCTGTTTCTTTTATCCATATTTAACTATAAGACAAAATTAAAATTTTTATTTTATATTAGTTATAGTTCGAAGAAGCCGTGAATGGGTTAAATGAAAACTTGATGCAAATAAGCGAATTTTTATTCTACGTTTTTGAACTGTAATTATAATTATTTAAATGAATGAAACTTAAATACTATATTCCTTTTGATTAGAAATATACTAAATTTATTTTATATCGTGTAAGATATATATTTTATTTATATATATATATTTGTAAATGTTTTCTAGAGAATTTCTAGTATTTTATTTTATTACATATATTTATAATTAATATTAACATATTATTTTTTATTTTTTAAAAAATAAAAAATGTCATGTGACTTTTTCCTAATATTACTTATATAAATACATATATATATATATATATATATATTCAAATTCAATGGGCCTGAAATTAGGGAATTAGGGCTGCATTATCCTTAAAGGCCCACATAATTACTCCTAATGTTTGATTTAGAAGCGTCATTAGACTAATCCATCTAATTGAATATATTAAAATTCAATATTTTCTTTTTCTTTTTTTTTTTATAATTTATTCGAGGAAAAAATTTATGGGATATTTATGAAAAATAATATAATTTTGAAATTATAGAAAATATATAGCTCAATTTATTTTCAATTAAAAATAAAATTAATTTGATGAAAAATATTAGAAGCAAAATAGGATAACCTTGGTTCGGATACGAACCGAACCTTTTTGAATTTGCTTCGGAAAGCCGTTGCGTGGATTTTGACCCCCGAAACGAACCACCAACTGAATTTACTATTCTACCCCTCATCGACTCTTTCTCTTCTTTTCCCTCCAGTGTCCAATTTAACATTCTCAGTTTCAGTGGGGGAGAGAAATAGAGAGGGATTAGGGTTTCGGTTGGGTCTCTGTAATGGAGAGTATTACAGTTCTTAATACGGAAAGTTGTAGTCTTGCAGGTAAGTTTTTCGATTGGTCTACATTCCCCTACCTTTCTTGATTTCCTTTCGAAAGTCCGAAATTTTTTCTTTTATCTTTATCCGGCTGTTTTCGTCTTTAGTCTTTCAATTGCATCTTTTGTTTGCAGTTAAGCTATATTCGTTAGACAAGCATGATTGACGTGCGTTTTCTAGTATTTGTGCAAATTTTTTTGAATGTTTTATTAATTCGGGATTTTCGGTTTGATCAAATGGAATTTCATTGCGATTCAAACCCATTTCTGAGGAATATTAGGGCTTCTTGAGTTTCTGAGGGGTAGGATTTTGATGGTTTTTACATTTTCCTGTGGAATAGAAGTATGCTATTTTTAGTGTGAGATGAAAATTCAGTTCTATCGAGCAGGTTATAAAACATAGGAATCGGGAATGAGTTGACTTAAGCTAATATTAGGTAAATTCAGGCTTCACATTCACTTTACAAAGCAGAAGATAATGTATTTTGGTTTGGCTATTTGTTTAAGTAAGCTTATGCTTCGTATGGTGGCTGATAAATGTACTGTGAATACGAGATAGAAACCTATTAGATGTTCTGTAGGGGAAAATATTGGGAGACCAGTATTGGCCAGTTCTATCCTCTTGGGTCGTAGAAATTTAACTATTTAGATTATTGTAGAGACTTAAAGAAAAAGAACGGGAGGAAGTAACTATTTTGTATTCAAACATAATTTGCATGGGGTTTGACCACAGATCCGAAGTGTAGGTGAGGAAGAAGATGGCTGTTTCGTATGGATTTAGTTTGAAAAAATAATCACTGGCTTTTGTAATTGATTTTCATCATTTTCCCCTGTCAAAGATTAAGGGGTTATTTTCTATTTTCTTTATGTCTGCTGGTTGTCATTAAGTTGCTATTGTCTTCAGTTAAGAAGGCAGAGGGGGATAAACCGGCAAAGGTATCTTCGCTTGGCAGTGCAGCAAGGAAAAGTCTAGCTGACATAAGCAATCAGCAGCAACAGGCTGGATATTTAAACCAAGATGGAAAGCCTGGGCTGTCTGTTTCACTTTCGACCAAGGAATATATTGAAAAGCTCCAGAGGGTATGTCTTGAGGGGATATCTGTTTACTTGTGCATGTGTTTGAAATGCACCTCTTCATTTATGCTCACACGGTGGTTTTAAATTGTCCAGGAATATATGGCAATGAGAAAACATATTGCAGACAGAGAGTATCCTATGATTATTTACATTTATTTTTAATCTTCTCTGGTTTTCTTTTTGCATTTTTTTCTTTTATGGATTATTTCTTAATTCCAACGGACAGTAAAATCATCGAATTGAGAGGGATGGATTTGCAGAAATTGCGAATCAATTTGCAGAAGGTGCAGCTGCAGAATTTCCAACTTGCCCAAGTGAATAGCCAATTGTTGGCGGTAATTTATTCTCTTTTAGATTGTTCGATTTCATTTGTGTACATGGAAACTGCAAAAATACCTTTTTAACATAATTTCCTGAGAACTACTTGCGAGTTTTGATATTTTATTTGTCATTGCAGGAGCTTAATTCAGGAAAAGATAGGGTAAGTTAATGTTTTTAGGGAATCCAAGTTGCTAGAACTTGAGATTCTTGGATCCACCATATTATACTTTCTGTAAACTTACAAGCTACACTCATTTCAGCTGAAGATACTGCAGCATGAGCTTGCATGCAAAGATGGCTTGCTCAAGGCAAGAAAATTGAAGTTGGAGGTTATATTCTTTTCATTTGTTACACGTGATTCAGTTTATACGTAACTGTACTGTTACATAAGTATCTGGTTGTTTTTCTACCCAGGGAAAAGCAAAAACAAAGACTTATCCAGTATCTGAAAATAAGGTATTCAAGTAAATTCCTACTTCTAGAATTGATTTTGACTACTTTATCTATCATGCCTTGGTATTTAGACTTTTAAATCCCATTGTGAATTTTTAAAGGTGCAAAGAATCGACTATGATGAGGGGGACGATAAATCTTGCAATTCCAGCAGAAGACAGCAATTGAAAAACAAATGTAACTTGCTAGAAGACGTTTCATTTGGAATCCTAGAGTCCAGTTTGCATGCTAACCTTTTTTTATTTCTTGCATGCAGCTTGCAACCCCTCTTCTGTTAAAGTGGTACAAGATAGTGAGAAGGATGATAGTAAGAGGTGGGTTTTACACATTTCCATGGTCTTTTATCTGTCTCTACTAAATGCTTTTTGAATCTCCAGCTCTTCTTTGGAAAGGTTGGGACAAATAAGGGAAGCATAAGTTTACTTTTGAGTTCTAATATTCTTTTTATAAAGGCCTCCTGCAAGAAGGCAGTCTGCTAGGTTTAAGACTCAAGAACAAGGATCAGCTGATATTGTTCTCCAGATTGATGATGCAAAACAGAGGGCTCAGAAACGGTTTATATCTGCTTCTTCTGAATTTATGTTTGATGTTGATTGGAGAAGTTCGACAAAAAAAGTCAACTTACTTTGACTTGCTTGTATAGCAGGCTTTCTCTCAGAAGGCAGTCCGATAGGTTTAAACCTCAAGAGGCAAGACCAGCTGAAGCTTTATTCGAGTTAGATGATGCTAATGAGGAAGCTGAAAACAAGAGGTTAGTTAGTAACACTGTTTTCTACGGTTGCAATTTTTTTGGCAATAAGACTTTTTCAATGAGGACAAATCTCTGGCCAATAGCGAATATGTGACTCTACCACCAATTCAATCTGTAGCTTAGGCTTTTCCACTCTTCACAAAAATTTAATACAGTTAGTTTTTTAAAAAAATATTAACATAGTTATTTTTTTATCTAATTTATAAGTTTTAATTTATAGTTTACTTTTTAAAAATGTTTAGTTTTTTTTGTTAAATAAATAATAATAAATATTGTTTATATGGTAATAATTGTCAGATTTGATAATAAAACCTAAGTTTTATATAATATTAAAAATTACATAAAATATTTATTTTTTTTGCTAAATAGATAATAATAAATATTGTTTATATGGTACTAACTGTCAGATTTGATAACAAAATTTAAGTTTCATATAATATTAAAAATTACATAAAATATATAAAAAGGTAAGGACATCATATTTCAAATAAAAAATACAATTGTATATGTAAAATTGTTACATTTAACTATATTTTTCCTAGGTTATTTTTTTGTTTCTCATTGTAATTATTTTTGTGACCAAAGCATATAATACTAAATATATTAAGACATACGTACACCCCTTACTGACTGTATAAAAAATCCACACATCTAAATATTATACTAGTAGACCTATATCTCCTTTAATTTAATTTGAAATATTGTGACCAATCACTACTAGATATGATTATTTTTCTCTCTTTATAAGAAGTTTTGGATTCGAGAAGGGCTGTGCATTTTATCTTTGTTCGAAAATTATGTTATGATTGATGATTATGTGTCATATGATCAATGAAATGTATTATTTTCAATAAAAAATATATAATATCACGAGTTTATCACAGTAAAACAGAAAATTTTTCCTTACAAATTTAAAAAATGATAAACTTCAAAATCCCAATATCTGCCGACATGACTGAAATTATAGTAGATGTTTACTGCATTTTAGAATGTTGGAACAAACTGAATGATTGTAAGTGCATTTCCTAATGAAATTGATAAGAATGCAATAAATACACATTAAATGTACTCTTGCCACACGTTACATGCTCCATGCTTTATACACTATATGTCATGTTTTGATTCATCTTTTCTACTAAAATAGAAGTAGAATAGCATGGAGTTCGTATTAGTGTTTGGTCACATTTAAGTCAAATCTCATTTTGTTCCTGGTTATTTCATAGTGTTAATTCATCTTAGTACTTATGTTTAAGCTCATCTTCTCCCCTCTTGAATTCATTTGGATTGAGAATTCATAGTTCAAAAATTATGTTGTAATTACACATATCAAGGATAATGCATAAACGGGACTGAATTAGGTAGAAACGAAGTGACAATTGAACCACATGAGCTGTTATTGTTAGCCAATTGAACCAAATATGCTGTTATTTTTGTGTAACAGACTTTGCATAGGAAGACAGTCTGCCAGGCCTAAATGTCATGAAGAGGAAGCACATGAGGATTTGTTTGAGATAGATGACTCCAAATTTCCAGTTTCTCCTTTGTGTGATCAAACGGCGAACACAAGTAGTCCCCCACCATCAGATTTATTTGTTAAAAAAAATCATGAAGGAAAGATTTCCTCTCCAGCTGATGCTCAGGAAATCAGAAGATCATCTATTGGACGGCCCTTGCGTCGAGCAGCTGAGAAAGTTCATTCCTACAAGGAAAGACCAATTAATATAAAGATGCGGAGAGAAAAGTGAGTGAATTTTTTCCCTAGTATCTTTTTACTATCATTCACGTATTTCTCATTCCTAATGTAGGTCCTCTGAACTCATTGTATATTGTTACGCCAGTACTTTATTTTTGTCATCTGCTGATGATAGAGGAAAAATGTACAAAAAACAACTTTAATAGTTCATGGAGTTCTATATAACTATATACCTCTGTAAGAATTCAAACACATTTTGGCTAGATGCATTCTTAAAATTCAGACATATATTCTCAAGTCCTATATCAGTTGTATGATATCTTCCACTTTGTTTATTCAAATACAAGACTTCTAATTTATTTCCTTTTGTGTTTGTGCGCCTTCTCTTGTTTACTTGTTCGGTGTGTGAGAAAACATATGAGAGTTGTAGTCAATCACTAGTTGTAGTTGGAGAACTGATCATGGTAAGATGAGTCAAAATGCTAGTGTATTTATTCAACTTCATTGAGATCATTTCTGTGATTAAGATGTAAATCATCTTCTAAAAGTTTCCAACTAGGCTCACCTATCAGTCAAATAACACTTGAAGCAAGTGAAAAGATCAGTTGGAAGTTCGGTGGCTGCAGTTCTCTTATTCAGATTCTTCCTCTGGTATTTCTCTTTTGATTCTGTATTTCTCTTTTGATTCTTTTATGTAGATGTTTGAAGAGCTACCTACTTTCTTCCCCTAATCAGAAGTGTAGGGTTTTGATGATGAATTACTTGGTTGGTTGTAGCCTTCAAGGATCATGTTATAGGGCTTGGCAAAATTTGTATATGCATGCACTAGGGAGTTCATAGATGCTTAGCATCCAAAATTTCAGAACAGAAGTGGCAGAACTGAGATAACTCTCATAACTACAAAATGAGGTTTCTGCCTTTTCTTCCCCCCCAACCCCCTCCCTCCCCCCCTCTCCATGTTTCATCTGTTTAGGTTCTGATTTGCGTTTCTCAAGTCTTATTACCTGCATTAGAAGATGAACGTGTTAGGATTTGTTCGGAGTCTTGCATTTATAGATTTTAATTATTTTGATTATCTTGTAGGGGAAGTGAAGGGTGGCATACTGTTGAACCTCTTCCCAGCAAAATGGTATTTGTATATGTTGATTGGTGATGCTTTAGGATCTGTCATATATGTAAAGGACATACCGGATGTTAGTACTGGAAATTGGAATTTTGTTTGGGGATATTCTCATTCTTCTGAGCCAAGATATTGTAGATTTAGAAAATATTGTAGATTTAGAAAAAACGAGGAACAAATACGGTAAGAAGTATATAGATAAGTTTGCAGGTGATGTATTTGATACTTCAATTTCACAGTTGAAAATTTATATGCTTATTTGAGATTTATATAAAATTCAATCTAGCAGTGTTAGCAATTTGAGTCGAAATTTTGAATGCACGACTTAAATTTTGGGGCAGTCTTATTTGGATTTAAGGCGTTATAAATATGATACAATTTTGTGTCTTATGATGATAACTTGAGCTCGAGTTCAAATTTTGTACGGTTTTAAATTTGACTCCATACTTAAGAATGAGGAACAGAGAATACAATAGTAAAGCTTTAATATACACTTGATTTTTTTCTCCATAAATTAGTAAATATTATGTTTGGATGTGTATATTTAAAATATACGCATACAATGTATAGATATTTATAATATATATTAGATATATAAAGATAGTGGTAGAAAACGAATTTTTTGAAGTATTTGTGCCTATATTCTCGTTTTCATATGTGGAATTCATGGAAGGTAGCTAGCAAGAGTGGAATATGGGCTAAAATGTCTATATATATATATAGAATGTATATACACAATGTGCAATTTTATAATCATTAAACTTAAAGTTCTTGGTTATCTTATTAAGAAGGTAATGACTTTGGTTGAACTCCTAGTCAACCAATTAACTTGATGATGATCATGGTTTACAAATGGAAGTCTTTGTGTCTTTGAAGGTATATACTGTCAACAAATTAGAAAATCTCGAAGTATCAATTTCTAAAATTTATGATTGCAATCCACCGTAAATATAATAAATAAAATAAAATTTGAGATATTGTAGTATATTTCATCAATATGTATTCGAGTTTGTAGTCACAATTAAATTATATATATATATATATATATACGAGTAAAAATAATGATTTATCTCAATGTTATTTTTTATATAGAATTATTTGATTATCAATTTCTTATTGAGATATATATAAAGTTAAACTAAGTTTTTAATCTAAATCTTAATATAAGGTGTTTTTATATGTTTAATAAAATTTAGATTACATAATAAATTGAATTTAATTATATTCAAAACCATAGTTTAATATGATTTTAACAATTTATAAATTTTTAACTAAATAGTAACACACAAATTCTCACATAATAAATTTGGTTTAATTTAAAAAAAAAACGTATTAGAATTTGTAGTCACGATTAGGTCTTTTCTTTATTCTCTTTTTCTAATCACGATTATCATAAAACAAACTATAAATATTAGAGTTAATGAAGGAATTTATTTTTAAATTATTTTTCATATAGAGTCTCGTCATTATATATATAAATTTAGATTAATTCGCCAACTTATATATTAGTGTTATAAGGTATTATTATATGCTTTGATAAAGTTAGATAACAACTTAATTTTAATTACATTTTTAAACCATAATTTAATATGATTTTAATAAATTACAAAGCCTCTAGTCCATTATATTATATAAAATTTTTAATGAACTTTCTCATATATATATATATGTGTATATAATAGAATATAAACAAAATTTATATGAAAAATAATAAAATTTACCCACGTCTTCAAAAAGGTAGTTAAAACGATAGTTATAAAAAGTTGGGTTGGTAATTTTTGAAGGGTAAAAGTGAAAAAATCATTATGTAAACATTGAGAAACTTTATAGTCTATGATTAGCAGACCGGTTTACTTTTCCTAAAGAGAAAAAAAAAAAAAAAAAGAAAAAAAAAACCCGGTTTACTAAAAATTGATTGGTACAATTTCACTGTGTAATTTAAATATTATTACTTAATCAGTCTTTGATTAAAACAAAAGTTAATTAATTAATTAATTAATTAATTAATGAAAAATGGAAGATGAAGTGGGTCCCCATTGCACCTATCAACACTCCCAGTCCTCACATGCAAAAGAGAAAGAGAAAAAGAAGGTGACAAAAAGAAGGCAGACTTTCAATTCATGCCTCCACAAACTCTAAAACCGCGTTTGGCCACGAAAGATATATATATATATATGTGTGTGTGTGTGTAAATATATGTATGTGCATGCACGTATACATAATAACTTTATGTTTAATTATAAAAAAAAAAAGTTGATTCCGAAAATTATTTAATTAAAGAGATTAAAAAGCTTTTTTAACCCATCAAATATGCTTTTAAAAATATAATTTTTAACCCACAAATAATTTCTTAATTTTCAAGAAAAAAATGATAAATTGGGTATTAAATTATAATAATTATCATAACTAAAATAAATTTAATTATTATATAATTTTTTTCACTAAATTTATAATAATTTATTAAATTTTAATAAATTTATAAATTTATCGTGCATAAAATACTATCAAATTTAATTAAATTCGACTTAAAAGTGATATGTTAAGATTAAACAGAAGTTTAATATATTGATTATATTCTAACTTTTTTTTTTTAAAAGAAAAAAGAAAAGCATGTACCGTGACGTGTCGGGTTACGATTGGACCAAAAATTATACACCACAAAGTATCTAATAGGTGAAAGCAACCCTACATGCATGTGTACATGTGAGCGTGGGTTGCACCATAATATCTTGCTCCCAACTCTATCAATTTATATACATGTATATATATATATATATTTTTTCATTTTTTAAATAAATTTTATAATTAATTTATATAAATAAAAAAAAGGGTTTTTAAAAAGAATTAGAGGGAGCCGTTATACCATAAAGTGAAATTGAACTTTTTATTGTCTAAAAAAGAGGATTCAATTTGGAGTTATATGGACCCGACCCGCCAATTTTATTTATTTACTAATAATTTTCTTACCCAATTTTTGGGCTTAAATTGGAATTTTTTTTTCTCCTTATACAAAAATTTTCAAGAGTGAGAAAGACATATTCTTGTTTGTAATTATGAACATATTTTCCTAGAAAGAGGGGAAAAAAATAATAATAATATATATATATATATTGAATATTTAGTTACATAATACTTGCAATTTTATATTATAATAAGAGTGAATTGTTAATTTCTTTATAATATTTCAAATGATATATGTGTGTATAAACTTTTAAATTTAAACCGAATTTAAATAATTAAGAGTTACAATACATGTGACATAATTAAATACCATATATTTTTTGTCTCATTTTTTTAAAATAACAAAATAATTAAAATTATGAAATAAAACAAAGAAAAATAATTAAAAAAATTAAGAATTTTATATAAATTGAAAAAAATAAATTATAGAGACTAGATGTTTGAAAAAAAAAAATTAGTAAGTTTAAATTTTAATAATAATAGTAATAGTAGAAGGCTTTTAAAAATTAATAGAAAATTCTTTTTGAGGGCATGTTAATTAGGAAAAAGATGAAGGTAAATACAAGGTTGAAGAGTAGTCAAATATGTACAAATACATACATATATATATATATGTATATAATCTTATTCATTATGTTTGTATTCTTCTTCTTCCTTTGAAGAGTCAAAAGAAAAACCTAAGCTTATCTTCTGGTATTAGCTCATGATAAGTGCTTTACTAATCATTCCCTCAAGTTTAATTAATTTATGTTTTTCATTCCATTTCTACATACCTAATAAACTCATTAACTCTCCTTTTAACTTTAATTTAATGGCTTCCCTTCAATCTTTGATAGTGTATATACATACACACACATACATATATATATATATATATATATATATTTGTATATAGCCCTCCACATATTCAAACCCTAAGAAAATGGCTATTTAGCTAAACTACATTTAATGGGTTATCTGGTTTTTAGCATGATTAGTTACCAAACTTTCCTTAATGCTTGATTTTACCAGCTAACCCTGCAACAATTCTTTGTTTAATATATATATGTAGACATGTTATAAGTATGGAATGCATTTGGATTTTGTGATGATACCCATCAAAATATATGTATATATATGTATATACCCAAGTATAATACATATAAAAAATTTAATATTTGTGCTTAAATATTTCACACACACAACTATGGAATACCCTCTTGTCATTTTAATGATATGTTTCTTTACCATCTCGCATGAAAGTTTTCCTCTTTACGGTTGACACGTGTGAGACTGCAGCAAAGTTTGATACAATTGAGGGAAACCGTGCTAGAAAAGGTGGGTCAACAAGAGAAATTGCCTCCAACTTTTACAGCTGATTTCACATTCTTTCTCTTGAGAATTAATCAATTAACCAATCACCATTAGAATTGTGTATAAAAAGCTAACCTAAACACCTCCATTAATCTCTGCCCTTCCCTATCCATGTTTTGGCTTCATCTGCTGCCGGTCTAACCTCATTTTCCATGACGATTCAGAAAAAAATTCACACAATGACTCAAAGACCCAAGTAAACAGCAAAAACTCATCATCACTTCTAAATTCTTAAATGTACTTACTTTTAAACCAACTTCAACAATATCACTCCTTAAGCTCTCTTGTGTTCTCTCCGGTTTAGAGGTTTTAGGCCCTTCAAAAATGGAGGACCAATGTGGTCTGCTTACCTGGGGAAATTGCTTTCAAGAAGAGGTGAGATAGCTTTTAATTTTTCATACTTTTATTGGGTTTAATTCTTTGATTTGCAGGCTGATTTTGTTGGGTTGGAAAATTGAAGATTGATTGCTCATTTTTCTTGGGTTTTGCCCCCCCCTTTTTTTTTTTTTTTTTTTTTTTCTGTCTGTTTAGGGTTTTTGATGATTTGGGTTGGTTAATTTTGTTGGTTCTTTGGCATTTGGGAAGATAATTTTGTTTTCTTGGGTGGAATTCTCTTGTTTGTTTGATTCTTTGATTGGTGGGTTTTGGGTGTCTGTGATTTTGATTTGGTTTATTTGGCATTTGGGCAGGGAATGGAAGAATTAAAGCATACTCTTTTATACACTACTTTGGAGCTTGAGACAACAATTTTGTCAGCCAAGGAGGAAATCACAAGAAGAGAACTTGAACTGATTCAACTCAAAGAAGTTCTTGCTGTGACAATGAAAGAGAAAGAAGAAGCAGTAGCAAGATGCCAAAGACTAGTCCATGACAAACTCGTTCTGCAGCAAGAACTGCAGCAAAATCACCACAAACACCAGTTTCTGCACCACCAGCAGAAGCAAGAACAAGAACTTGCTCTGCAAATCCATGGAAGTTCTAGCAGTGAAGATGAATCCATACCCGTAAAACCCAAAAGAGGTTTGGACACTTCTGACTGTTATCATAGACAAATGGGTTCATCTCCAGGAGGAGAGTCAATCCCCCAATTACCAGAGGAGGCTATGAAACTTGCAGCCAAGAAGCCATTGCCAGAGAAAGGGAAGCTTTTGCAGGCAGTAATGGAGGCTGGACCACTTCTACAGACCCTCCTCTTAGCTGGACCTCTGCCTCAATGGCAGCACCCTCCTCCCCAACTTGACTCCAATGACATCCCACCAGTGGGAATTTCTTCTCCAACCAGTCGTCTCGTGACTCAAACCTCCTTTAACAATCTTAACCATAGCTGTTTGAGCAAGAAAAGATCTGCTGATCAACTCTTTGATTGCTCTGAATTATCTTCTTCCCCAGAAACCAAGCATCAGAAGAGCTGTTCTCCATTGAATTGACCAGAAATTTCTCTATTGCTGTACTACTATCCATCCTTTTCCATATACTACTTAGAATTTTAACATGATCCAAGAGGCACCCATGAACACGAACTAGATGGAATGGTCTTGGTGCCTCACTTCTGTTTCAGAAGAATTTTTTGCACACTACTTTTGTTGCCATTAGGAATTTAACAAGCCTAACTTTTATTCAATGGAGACTTTTGATGGGGAAAAAAAAAAAAAAAAAAAAAAAAAGGAAGAATTTTTGGTTTATTTATCCCATTATTCAATTCACCACTCCAAACCATGAATATCTCTTCAACTCTGAAATGGGTCTTTGGAATTCCCCAAATTTGTATAGACTCTGCTAATTCTCCTGTAACTAAGATCATGTTTGTTTAAAGATTCAGTGATGAACCCAGATTCCAAAAGAAGGTACTAAAGTTTATCAAAGCAATTTAATGGTGGGTGGAATTTGGTCCTGCTTTTTTCCCTCGTTTGATCTGTTAAAGTTTAGACTAATCATGACACAGATTGTGACCCAAAAACAAGCAATATGATTGAATTTTTGCAGACCCACATGCATATTTTCTCCATTCATGGTGGGTATATTGTGATATGTTGTTGATACTATGATGAGTAATGAATTCGAGGTTCCAAAAATGGGTTACCAATAGATTGAAAAGAAGTTACAGTTTGAAATGAAGAAAAGAAATGTTCAACAATTATATTCTGCTTCACATGGAGGGGTCATGGGTTAGTGCTGTGCTTTTAGACCATTTTTAAGCAACATTTCAACAGAAAAAAAAAAAAAAAAAAAAAGATTAGGAAGCTAATTGGTGTTCGTTTGGGATTTTCTTTTTTTTTCCTTCTCTCTTTTTATTATCAAATGGTTTTAAAACCCATCATCATCATCAACATCACCATCATCATACAATTACAAAATGCACATGCTAGCTTTGCCACAAGATTCACTAATGGGTCCCACACGTTTTTAGGGGGTGGGGGGGGGAGGAGGACCCACCATTTTGTGAATCAATGTTTTGGATTGGCATTAAATTTGTTCAAATCCAACTAAACATATATATATATATATATACATTTATAGGTTTGCATTTATGGGGAAAAAAAAAAAAAAAAAAATTCTCAATGAGTTAAATTACAACTTCATGTGTTTCATTAATGGTTAGATGTATTTTCAACAACATTTTTGATTCAATGATATGATATGTTTGTGGATAGATTATAAAATTAACTTTCGAAATTTTGACATTCGTTATAATTTCAATACGAAATGGAAAATTTTGACGGTCGAGAATAAAAAGAAAGTGACGGAGAAATTAGGTGCATGTAGCTAATGTCTCGTACTAACCAGACCATTTTCTTTCAAATTGATTCTTAGAGATCTTTAAATGCTGGCTTGAAATTGAAGGAAACAAGTGATCAAGATTCCCAGACACCACACACTTAATCATTTGATTTGCTACAACTTCACCATAAAGATGCCTCCATACCCACCTTTTTACTATACATTTCATACTTGATTATCTATCTATATGTACACACACACACACACACTAAAAGACCATTAGAGGAGAAAATGGAGATACCAATTTGGGTTGGTGACAAACCCATTAAAGCAGCTTTATTTTACATGGAAGCTCAAAAGTATAAGGTCAAAGTGTGATTAATTAGTTTTGTGGGTGTGAATGTTTCGCTTTTATTTTTGGTACGTTGTTGTAATATTCTCGCTCTTATGTTAGAAAAATACATGTTTGCGGAGTTTAAGTTTATATACGTAAGGGTAAGTTCGGAATAAAAAATTGGAATGAGTAATATAAAGTATGTTGGTTTGATCTATTGAAATTTTGATTGAGAGTTAGACAAATTATATTTATTTTAAACAGTGTACAATTCTTTTATGTGTATATACTTATTTTCAAAGCACATGCTAAATACATAAATATATATTGAGAAAATTTGTTTTAAGTTTTTCTAAAACGACGTCACTTTTATTTTGCTTTTAAAGAATTTCACGTGTCATTTCCTAAACCACATTACAGAAACGGCCCGTTGGATAATAAGCTAAGCCCATATGCTGTCACCATAAACTACAACCCAATTCTACAGGTGCCAGCTGTATACGCCACGTGTCAATCCTATAATGCTACCCAACTGCAACTAACAAAACATTGATTCTCGAAGATTCCAACTGCCACTTGAAATTCTTTTCCCTCGTGTCCCTATCTCTCTCTGCATTTCAATGATGTCTCGTTTTGTTTTTAAATGACTGTCGTGTCACTGTAAACAAACCCACACTCAAGCAGAGACGTACGGGCAAGCTTCCCTGAAATGGCCGTTTGGATTTATTTGCAGGCGAAAAGCATTCAGTGACAGCCCCTGAAACATGGATCAGATTGCAATCGCCGTTACTGATACTCATACAGGAGGAGGAGGAGAGAGTAGCTGCGGAACGGCGTACTTGCCGGAAGAATGCATCGCCAGCATCCTCTCCTTCACTACTCCTAGGGATGCTTGCAGGTCTTCGTTGGTCTCAACCATGTTCAAATCGGCCGCTGATTCCGACGCCGTTTGGGAGAGATTTCTGCCTCCTGAATACAAAACTCTGATGTCTTTGTTACCGCCGGCGGATTCCTTCTCCTGCTCCTCCATGAAAGAGCTCTATCTCGGTCTTTCCGGTTATGGACCTATCCTGATTGAGAATGGCAGAAAGGTTAATTTTTCTATTTCCTTCTCTGATTGTGTATTTTTTGGTTGAATTTTAAATTGATTTTGTTGATGATTGTCGTTGTTGTTAATGACTGGCGCTAATAGAGCTTTTTATTGGAGAGACCAAGCGGGAAAGTGTGTTATATGCTATCTGCAAGAGACCTCGCGATAGTATGGAGCAATCTTAGTTGTAGTTTTTGGAGATGGATTTCTCTTCCCGACTCCAGGTCCTTCTCTCTCTCACTCTTTCTCTCTTTGTTTGTCCATAGTTTTTTTTTTTCCTTTTTTTTTTTTTTTCAGTTTCTAATTTATTGATCTTACATTAATTACTGGTTAATCTTGATAATAGATAATTGTATACTAGTTTTTTCATTAATTTCTGCCTTGGATTTTTAAAAAGTAAGAACTGGAAATTTATCTGCAAGAAATTTAGTTCGAGAGTCAAGGTGGATATGGTTTAAATATGGAATTATAATGCAAATGAAGTGATAGTTGAATCAAAGTGGACTTAACTTATAAGTTTTGTTTCAATGATCATGATGGGATTGGTTGTCGATATATTAATATATATATATAAACAGATTTCCAGAGGTTGCAAGGCTTAATGCCGTATGGTGGCTTGAAATCTCTGGCACTATCTCTTCTCAGATGCTTTCCCCTGAAACCCTGTACACAGCTTATCTCGTGTACAAGTTAACACCAGAAGCTGTAGGATTTGATTGCCAAGCTGTAGAAGTTAGTGTAGGACTCGTTGGCAGTGAAAGTTGTAAGAGAAGTGTTTATTTGGATGATTCAAAAAGAGGGAATCCTGCCGGAGAAGATGACCCTCAATATCAACAACCATACGAGAGAGCTGACGGGTGGTTGGAGGTGGAATTGGGTGAATATTTCAACAAGGGATATGCTGGTGGTGAGCTAGAAATAAGTGTTCTAGAGATAGAGCGCGGCCACCAGAAAAGAGGCCTGATCGTTCATGGGATCGACCTCAGGCCGAAACAGAGTTAGATCAATTATGCAGCCGATTGCTTGCATCAGTTTGATGAATTGGTATTTTCTCTTGGTGGGGTTTAAAATTAGTTGATTGCAGACTTGATTGTCTGATACTTTCAAAACTTGGTGCAGCTGCTTTTTTACTGCTTGGTGTTCTTCTAGCTTTGATTTCTGCTGTTGGTTCATCTGGGTTTCCCTTCTTGCCAGTGTGGAAATTGAGTAAGGATGTATACACACACATATATGATTGTTTTTAGTGTGTATTAGCATGATGTGCGTAGTTGTGAGACATTGATTATTGTAGTTCCTCTTGTCATATATCTTATTCAGTGTACGTAGAATGATTGAATCTGAAATTTCTCAAGCATTTCATGATCGGTTTCAGTGTGGTGCTGGGTCAGGCTGATTTGTTTTGAATGCTTACCTAAACTGAAATAATTGAAAAACAACAGCAGATTGTACCCTTTGTGATTTTGTTAACTTGTTTCGAGCTAATGTCTCTGCGTAGACTAAATTTTCAAATTGAATGTATCGTAAACGTGTCGTAAATATGAAATACTTTTTTTTTTTTTTTTTATTATTGTCTGAGTTGTACATACTTAATTTTAAGAATTTTACGAGTCTATTATGAAATGATAGCTGTTATTCACTACGTATTATTTACTAAACTGAATTTTTTCGTTTAATTTCATTAAATATAAAATATTTTTAATCATGCAACGTTCTCTTGATTTTCTTCTTTAGAAAGCTTTTTTATTAATTTAAAATTTTAATTTTAAATATTTTTATGTATCTAATTAGTGATTTAATATTATTAAGAAAAAATATTAAAAAATTATTTATTAATTCACACCTTTTTGCTTCAATTAATTGTGACTTGCACATTAAAATTTAAATAATTATCAAATTGCACGAGAAACATATACATTTCAAGTTTAACATATTTTACAAAGTATGTTTTAAGTTTTTTAAAATAAGATATTATTTTTTTAAATATTTTTTTTTGGAATACAATGTAATAATATAAAAAATTTCATAGAGTAAAAAAATTAACTCTTATAATAATTGGTTTGTACTTATTAGTTTATCTATTTATATGTATATATATATATATTAAAATGTGACGATTAAATTGAATTAAATTTTAATAAATTTATTATATTTGCAAATAAGAAAATATTTTATAATGATTATTTTTTTAATTTATAATTATCATAATAAATTAAAATTATGTTGTAGCTTTTTAAAAATATAATTATAAATTAAAATATAATTAGATTAATTCTATAACACGTTATACTTTTTGTAAACTGTTAAAGATTAAAAATATTAGCGGTTAATGGTTGAAAAAAATATTTAATTAATAACTTATTTATCGAAATAAAAATAAATTTTTTATGATAATAAAAAATATATATTAATTATATTTAAACTAAGAATATTATTGTACTTTATTCTAAATAATTAATTTAATTATTACATAAAATTATTAAATTACTGTCGACTATTAAGAATTTATCGCGAAATAATTAACACGTAGTCATCGTCGTCGTCGTCATAGATTTTCTCTGTTCAGGTCACTGATCGCTGATCTCCTCACCTCTCTCACTCTCTGCAAAAAACCATAAAATGTCCGTCGCATTATCGTCTTCTCTCCTTCTCTCGCAGTCACCATCTCTTCTTTCATCTCCCGTCCTTGCTTCTCATCGGTTTGCTGCGGGTCCTTCAGAAACTCCACGAAATCGTTTCTTCATTGCATCAAAGCCCGACTGCTCTCGTCCGTTTCCTTGTACAACCTTTCCTAGGGAATTTCCTCTCTGCTTTTGCTCCTCCTTCCCGACCATGCCTCAAGAAGAAGCCTCCAATTCCGCTTCTCAGGTTCTTTCCCTGAACTACAGTCTCTTTCGAAATACTCCTGTTAATTGGGACGTGGAAGACCTAATCATTAGAAATATCTTCATATTTTAGGATGCTGTTGTTATTTTAGAATTTGAAATAGTCGAAGGAAACTGGATGAAGTATTTTTTAGCTTAGATTTAGAGACCAATTTGAAATTAAATGGGTGGCGGGCTTTAAAATTATTAACCAGAAGAATAATGAAAATTTGAAATAATAAGTTTATTGAACAATCAGATTCTAAGAATGTGCAATCTACGATTTATTTAATAGAAGGTTCAAAATCTCAGGAAAATAAATTATATATTAAGGGATTTAAATCTACATTGTCGTGATTTTTAATACTAATTCTAAGTAATGCTTGAATTGGCATTAAGATGTCATCGGTGGAAATTCAATTCATTTCAATAGAAACCATGAGTGTATATAGATATAGAGGACACACACACACACAGTAATACAGACAAACCCTGTGTTTTTCACATCCATCTTAAATCTATGGTAGAAAGTGAAATTTTCTTAGTTAGATTTAAGAATTTCTTAAATTTTTGAACAGTTGCAGGACAGTTTGTTGTACTCGAGGGCATTCTGGGTTAGCAAGACAATAATTGCATGGAATGTAGATATTGGAGATGGTTCATGCTATTTATATGCAAGTAAATCGGCTTCTTTGTCTGTTACAGAAGATGGAATTCAAGGTTTTCCGTGTTTGCTATTTATTGCCTTCTAATCTTAATGGCTTCTTTTTGTTACTAGCCTTTATGTTAATCTGATTTCTCCGCTAGCAGGTCATGATGTGAAAGTTAAGCTCGAGGAAGGCACTGGCAAGCTTCCGATAAAGTTAACATGTTAGAGCATGTTAAATCTGTCAACTCATTAGGTTTGTTGCTTTTCTGGTTTGCCTGCAAGGTAGGGGTGCTTTTCTTTGGTTTGCATGTTGCAGTAATTGAATGAGTTTTGAAGGGCTAACTTTGGTTATTTATTCCTTCACATTTAACATTTTTAGGGTGGTTGAAAAAGTTTCCTCATATTCAAGATTACCGAGCCTTCAAGGTGCCTTCCGATTTGGATGTCAAAGATCTCCTCAAATGCCAACTGGCGATTGGTTGTTTCAACTGTAAGTATTCTTTTAAAACGTTTCTCATGATTTATTCAGCTTTAGCCAGAAAGTAGAATAGATGGTACCATAGTACATGAGATACAGCGTCTCATGCTGCTTTTGCTGTCTTTGGGAGTTCAAGAAGCTAAATGAATTCTTCTCCATTGTTTTTGAAGAAATCTCCATTGTTAAAATGACAATGGACCAACAATCTGATGTCTCCAAATTTTTGCTCCTATTTCCTTTCTATCTCTTGGAATTTCTGGACAAGAAGCCAAATGAATACTTCTCCATTGTTTTTGACGAAATCTCCTTTGTTAAAATGACAATGAACCAACGATCTGATGTCTCCAAATTTTTGCTGCTATTTTGTTTTTATCTCTTGTTTGACGCATCGATTGATATATCCTATAAACTTGGGAGAATTAAGGTAATGATGCTCCAGTTCTCGGCTTCTCTTTTTTTAAATTTTTTTTCTTTTTCCTGTCTTAATATCTAATAGAAGTATTGTGTCTTGTGGTCATCTTTTGCAGTGTTCTGTTGCAGTTGCTGAAAAACTGTCCATTGTCTTTGTTCTCTCTATTTATACAGCTGACAGAAAATGCTTTAACGCTACTTGTTTGCAATTACCTGGAATTCTGGATGAATTATTCTCATATGATGGTCCTCTGGGTGCAATTTACACGGAAGAAGCTGTGTCACTGTACCTCTGGGCACCTACAGCTCAAGTATATCTTTCTTATTGAAATAGAATAATTTATCTAAGCCATTGACTTGCAACCAAAGTCACATAACTAAGAACAAAGCTCTTTTCATCTACTTATTTTTTCTTAAAAACAGGCAGTAAGTGCTTGCATCTATAAAGATCCATTAGATAGGAATCCTGTGGAAATCATCCAGCTCAAGGAGGATAATGGTGTTTGGAGTGTTGAAGGGCCAAAGAGTTGGGATGGCTGCTATTATATTTATGAGTTATCAGTCTACCATCCAAGCACCTCTCAAATTGAAAAATGCTATGCAAATGATCCATATGCAAGAGGGTATGCTGCTTGGTTTAGTTAGCCCACAATTCTCGACAACATATTTATAATTAAATATTTATGAATTTGATATGCGGATAAATACACATTTGTATATATGATGAGTGATATGCTTCCTGTTTACTTGTTGGAGCAGGCTTTCATCTGATGGTGGGAAGACATTGATAGTTAATCTTCAAGTGGATATTTTAAAACCTGAAGGATGGGACAAATTGGCAGATGAAAAACCGGATCTACGTTCTTTCTCTGATATTAGTATATATGAGTTGCATATAAGGGATTTTAGGTAAATACAAATACTCATTCAAGTTTGAACTTTCTTGATTTTTTTTTCAGTTTATTCGTTTGGAAAACCTTCAAAGAAAAAGAAAGTTAGCTTGTTATGGTATCATTATGGTTAAGAAATATTCTGGAGTCTTTAAGGGTTCTGACCTCCATTTTGTTTTTATGATTGCTAAACTCACTAAGTGGTTCTAGCCACTTATTTGTTTTCTGTCTTTCCTCATTACACGTTATCCTTCCCTGAAATAAACAAAGACAGATGGTAATTCTAATTTAATTATTTATTGAAACCTCTTGGGTTCTATTACTCATCTCTGGTTGGTAGAATTCGATGAATCTGTTTCACTTAAATTTATCTTGTTAATGTGTTCTTTATTGCAGTGCCAATGATCATAGTGTGAACCCTGACTTTCGCGGTGGATACCTGGCTTTCACTCTTCAGGTAGTGGTGTTCTTCTGATCTCAATTTTTTAAGGAAATAAAAGAATTTTATTCAAAAGAAAACACATATTTTCTTCTTGACTACATTCAATGACGTTGATTCCTATTATGCAAGAAAAACTTCCAGAATTGATATAGTTAAATATCATTCTCTTTGCTATTCCTTGAACAGCCTAGATTGATATAAGAGGCTATGCTGATTTCTGACTAAATTGATGCAATATAGGGGTTAATGGGATCATTTATTTCATCAGATATAAAGGACTTCTCTATTGTTAGCATCTTTTGGCAAGAGGTCCCTTTTGAGTGTGGTGGGTAGCTTCCTAAAGAGTAACTCGAAATTTTTCAACAGGAAAAACAAGCAGGCTTAGTCATTTGAGAAGTATAATTGGACATTTTGCTGTTTGGTGAAGGCAAGAAATGAAATACTTTGGAGGAGGGATCAAGCTGCAGGCCATGTTGCATATGTTATAAAAAGCCCTAATTACTTTGTTGAGTAGGCTTAGTCTTTGGGAAAGTACAATTTGACAAATTCTATCCATCTAGTTTTACACATATGAGCTGACCGACAAAGGGTCATTTGGTTTAGATATAGAATATTACTAGGAATTAATATATTGCTAAGAATCTAGATGACTAGGAATATGATTACATTTTTATCAGGTGTTCAGATTTCTAGGAATATTTGATTACTATATTCAGATTTATACAAAAGATTATTGAAAGAATATGTACACTTCCCGTAATAACTTAAAATAAACTCATATACATAAATTTTATGAGAATAAAAAAAAAATTATACTGTTAGTTAACTTTAAGCTTTTGGATGTTAATAAAAAAATTTATTTATTAAGAAAATGTAGTTTTCCAGTAAAACAAGATTATCGTCGAAATAACAAACAAAATAATAGGGGGCAAAGCAGGGAGGGAAGGGAGATTTGAGTGGTTGGTTAATTATGAGAAAGGGGGAAAGGGAGCCAAGCAGAAAAGGGTGTCCGAGCATCATAACATGAAATGTGTTCCAATGATTAACAGGATCATCTCATGGAATGTATGTATCATTAGCAGTGCAGAGAAATGTATTAAAAGGGCTTTAAAAGAAGTTGAGTGCTGATTTGTTTAGCAAGAAACCAGATTGGAAACAATAGGGTAAGTGTGATGAGAAGTGCATGGGAGGCTAGAGATGTTGGCCAGTTTGATCTCCCACCTGAAGGTAATATGGGTGGTATTGTATGTCTTGACTGAATAACAGTCTTGTGTTGGTTAAGACGCTGAAAGGAAAGATGTCCATCTCTTGAGAATTTATTCTCAGGAATATCAATATCAAATGGTGATTTCAATATGGTACTTTCTCCTTGAAGATTTCAAGTGGAAGAGCCTAGGCTAATAATAGCACTAAGGAATTCACGAATATCATGGGCGAGTTGAACCTCATACATCCTTCCTTAATGGTGGTAAGTGAATGTGATCCAATGACAGAGGAAATCCTTCTTTTTCAATTATATACAAATTTTTGGTTTTTTTGATTATTTTCTTAGGATGATGCGGTCGAGACTTCCCTGGCTCATCTCTAACTATTTAACTATTTTTTTTGTGGACTTGGATGTTAGTAGGGGGCCCTCCCCATTCAGATTTAAAAAGATGTGACTTGAGGTAGATGGCTTCGTAGATCTGGTTAAAAGTTATGGGAAGAGGAAAGCCTTATGGCTGTTGCTAGATTTAAGGTTTCTTGTGCGCTTGCTCATGTTAAAAGAATGATGAAGAGTGGAGTAGAGACGAGTTCAGTTCTGTGTCTTCTGACAGAGATGAATTGATATTTATCTTCCTCATACCAGGTACAAGGTGGGGATGTGTCTAAGGTCCTCTTTTGGGAGGATCATTGGAGGGGCGAGCGCTCATCGGGTACCCAGTTTGCTCTACTTTTTCGCCTTTCCTCCCGGCACTGGGCACCGATAGACCATCTTTTTGTCTTTCTAATGTTATCATGAATTGGAATTTTCATTTCTTTCATAGCCTGAACGGTATAGAGATGAGTAACTCATCTCCTTGTTAAACCTCTAAATTCATTTCAACCTTCTCAACAACCTGACTGCAGGATATGAACTCTTGACTCATCTAGGTTATATACCTGCAAATCTTTTTTCAATCACCTCACCAAAAACCCTGATTCTTACCACGACACGCTTATCAAGGCTTTTTGGCATGTTAAGGTTCCTTCAAAGGCGGTAGTGTTTGCTTGGACTAATTTTAAATCGGTTAAACACTGATGAGCTATTGCAAATTCGTAGATCTAACCGAGCTTTATCTCCTGATATTTTTATGATGTACTAAAGGAGTAGTGAGACATATAACCACCTATTTCTCCATTATGAGATGGCGTCAAAAGTATGATGTAAGTTGTTTGACACTTTCAATTTGGCTTGGCTTACTCCTCCTTTATTGGATCTTTTCTTTTTTCCTTTTTCTTTTTCCTTGTTTTTTGAGTCCAGTAGAAGTGGATTTGGGATTAAGATCAAGGCTAGACCGTTAAGGAAAGGTTCCAGTAGTAGTGGATTTGGGATTAAGACCAAGGCTAGACCGTTAAGGAAAGGTGCACTCTCTGCTAGGGTATGGACGATCTGATTGGAAATAAATTTTCACTTCTTCAACAATCATTCTTTTCCTGATTCAATTCTGTGGGAGAAGACAACTTTTTTGTCTTCCCTCTGGATTAAGGCTCATGGGAATTACTCAGACATATCTTTGTCTGTTTCATGTAGGAGTTGGGATGTCATGGTTAAGTGATATGATATCGGTTTCCTTTTACTTGTTTTACATTGTTATATTCTGTTACTTTGGCATTGTTTCCCCGGCTTGATAATCTATCCGCCGGTCTCTCTGTATTCTTCTTTCTCTCATCAATAATATTTCTTTGTTTATCAAAAACAAAAACAACTTGGCAGTGTGGAGGAGGTTAGGGATCTTCAAGGTGCTGAGTCTGAGAAAAGAATCTCACAAACTTGACCTTGCTAAATTGCTTGTTATGGCAGAGATTTGATAGAGGTAATGTTTGAGGATTACTTAGTTCAAGGAAACGGACATGAATGTTTTCACAATATGTCTAAACCCATTGTCAATTCCAATCCTGAGAGGAGACAAGTTATAAAGATGTTTATGTGGATTTACTGTGTAAAACCAAAGCGTGGAGGCTGAAGCTCGTTGGTTTCAATTTGGGTGCGGATGAGCACACTGCCTTGAGTGCCCTTTCTATTAGAATGAGATCTTTGAATTACTCTTAGCTCTTGCAATGGAGGTAAAGCACATGGGCTAGATGGTTTCACTAGGGCATTCATCCTTCATAGTTGGTATACCATAAAGGGTGAGATTCTGTCCGGTCTAATGAGTTTGCTGACTTGGGGTGCTTTTTTTCTAGTTTGAATGTTTCCTTCTGAGTAATGATTCCTAAAGTTCATGAGACAGCTAATATCGGTGGGGTCAGACTTATATATAATGATAGTGAGGAAGGCTGCTGTTTATTCAATCTAAACAAAGTTGGAGGATGAAGACG